AGGTATCGTCGGCATATCTAATATTGTTGACGGTTACTCCATTCACAATAATACCTTCGGTTGTCTCCATTAAGGCTTCCTTAAATATTTCCTCCGAATATAAGTTAAAAAGTAAAGGCGACAATATACAGCCTTGTCTCACTTCTCGTTTTATATTTATTTCATCCGACAGTTCTTGTTCAACCTTTATTCTTGCCACTTGATGCCAGTATAGATTTGTAATTATTCGTAGATCTTTATTGTCCAATCCAGCGGTTTCTAATATTTCTAGCATTTTGTTATGTCGGACTTTGTCAAAAGCTTTTTCAAAATCGATTGCACAAATATACACATTTTGATTTATATTTCTGCATCTCTGTACTAGCACCAGTATACTAAACAAGGCTTCTCTTGTACCCAAGCCACTCCTAAACCCAAATTGAGTATTGCTAATTCTGTCCTCTAACAGCGTGTAATTCTGCTGTGTATTACTCGCAGAAAGATTTTCAAAACGTGACTCATCAGACTTATTGTCCGATAATCACCGCATGTCTTTGGACGATATTTCTTAGGTATTGTGACAAATGTCGACTTTAACCAATCAGTTGGTAATATCCCAGTGTCATAAATTCTGTTAAAGAGATTACACAGAGCTTTAATTCCATTTTCTCCCAAAAACTTTAGTATTTCAGCACTTACTTCATCGGGGCCAAGTGCTTTTCCATTTTTTGCCGTTTGTATTGAACGTCTTACCTCACTTTCTGTTATAGATGGACATGATATAGCAATCGGTGTATAGTGTTCTACTCTCTCATCTTCAAATAATTCAGAAATGTAGTTTTCCCATTCTTTTAACTTTTCATTGATGTCTAATATTCTGTATCCGTTTCTGTCTTCTAAACTTTGGGATACTTGTTTCCATTTGTTTCCAGCGACCTCTTTTAATTTCTTGTGCAGATGAAATGTATCGTGTTTCTTTTTTATCATATTTTATGTTACTAATTCATTAATTTTCTATAAGCAAATCTAGAAAAATCGATTTATAGATTTTGTTACATATTACCGAATGTAGTAATATGTAAGAAAATCAACCACACCGATGGGGAACATTCATCTACGGCGTAGGGATGATTCGGCCCTAAATCTGGTCTGTTGCTTATTTGATAAAAAACACATTAAAATAAGTAAACAAAAGTTTTCTTTACCATTACGTTAAACACCAAAGTATAGTAGGTAAGTAAACTAAAATTAATCGTCAATAATGTGGTCAAAAATGTATCTTGAGTTCAAAGACGAAAAGTTAACATTAAACTTAAACACACTCGAAGTTCTTTTACTGATCAGGGTCGGTAACACTACTGCAATATCCTTTTTCCTATAACTGAAATATCATCAATATCAGGAAACAAAAAACTGTTTTTTGCTTTTAATTTAACTACTACAATCTAATTTAACTATAAAATCGGTATCTTGTAGGAAAATGATTTTTCCCATGTAATAAATTTCTAGTTTCTTAGAAATCACAAATCTTACAAGTGTAAAGGCATATATAGAAAGGGTATCCTTGTCAGAAATAAACTTCATATCCGGCAAAAAATCTTCGTCGGACGACTCATCTACAACAAGCAAACAACTGTCACAAAAGATCGATACTCGATTCACTTGAACTGGATATATTTCTTTTGGCACTATTGCACAAATGTCTTGAATGATTTTTTCGCTTTTACTCTTTTTTTCTTTTCCTCTCTTCGTCTAAAATTTGCCATAAAAAATGCCATAAAATTTGCCATAAAAAGTATGAAAACAATACTCAAGCGTGTCAGTGAGTATATACTGTTGACTTATATTTTCGGAAATTACGTTTTTCCTTAATTTTGACATTTGCTTTTGGGAGGGTCTGATTTTATCCAAACACAAAAAAGATTTGAAGTTGGGGTTGATTCTCTGTGAACGAGTGTATTTGATTTCACAGAGAACAAAACGGAAGAATTACTCTTTATGTTTTCTGCAAGAGTTCTAGTGGTTTGTCGATAACTTCGCTTGCTATAAAGTCCGCCTTGTTAAATATTTGGCGGTTTAAAGGCCAAAGTCCAGTATTTTGAAGAAGCACTTTCATATGCACGTTTTGCCAGAGCACCTAAATGTCCAATTGTTATGACTTTAGCTTATGCTTATGCTATGCTAGCAGCCAGTAGACTCCAACGTCCAAAGGCTGCAACTTGTAAGTGGTATGAGGAAGAAACGACAGCAGTACGATTCCATTTTCTCGTCACAGTCTTATTACTTCCACAGAAATGTGGGATTCATGGTTATCTATAAGCAGCTAAACCCTATTTTGTTGAGTACATTTCACGTGACTGACCAAGTGTTTTGTTACCCTAGGAAAAATTTCTCATTTCATCCATCCCCTTTTGTTTCCAAAAGCAATAGCCAAGGCTGGATATTCATCTCCTAAGTATTCTACTGGGTTTGTTATTCTGGGGAATACAAAAACCGGTGGAACTGTTTCTCCTGCTGCATTAACAATACCAACAAAAGTAACAAGTTCCCTCCTCTCTTGAAAAGATAAATGAGCAACTTGCTTTTTACCCTTGGGAGCAACAACCCTCGTAGAAGACATCACTGTCGTCAAACTAGTTTCATCTATGTTACATATTTCTTTTGGTCTAAACCTGTACTTTTTAAGAATAAATATTTATTTGGAGAAAAAATCATTAACGACAGGTTTATTGAATGCTGCTGATGCTTGTGTTCTCTGGCTTGCGTTAAGATATATCTTTTTCGTTCCTTTTCATAGAGCCTCTTAACTAGTCTAGACCTAAAATAGGAACTTTTAATATAAAACAATTACTATAATAATCATATGGCACAAACCTGCGATCTTGTTAAGATTCCAAGATGTCGGCACCTTACATCTTGGTATGGAATTGGCATAATCGAAGGCAAGACATTGTATTTGCTTGACTTTAGTCCATAATTCAAATTAGAATATTTTTTATGTTAAGATACAAGTTGTTCTTCTTGAACTGATGTAAATATTTGTCTTGATATATATTTGCTTAAAAATGACACATCCTTTTCACTTTCCTTACCAGAATCCTCCAAGGCAGCCAGAATATCTTCTTTTGATTTCTTCTTTAGAAGAATTTTTATACGTAATTGTATTGTTTGTCGTTTCACACTATATACTTAGGCAGCTTTATACTCAATAAGGTTTTTAGGTAATACTGCTTTAATAGCCAGTTTCATTCTCTTTTCACTTATATCACACCGGCTGGTCCTTTTTACATACTTTTTAGGCATCTAGAATGCACAAATGATTTAGTAAATATTTTAAATTAAGTTTTATAGAAACATTTAAATAAACAAAATTATTATTTTTACATGGGAAACATTCGGCTGGTAACCGAATGTTACCCGTACAATCCAGCTGAATGGTCACGACCTAAATAAATTTATTTAACAACAAAAAACAATTATCAAAATTTGGTGCAGTCGTTCTGAAGTATTCAATGTATAAAAAGCAATGTATTAACTACAGGGGAATAACACTCCTAAACACCACCTACAAAACCCTTGCAAACATCCTGCTAGAAAGAACCAAAACATACACAGAAGAAATCGTTGGAGATTATCAATGCTGATTTAGACCGGGCCGCTCTACAATTGACCAGATATTCACAATAAAACAGATAATGGAAAAATGCTGGGAGTTTGATCGTGAGCTTCATCAGATGTTCATAGATTTTAAACAAGCATTTGATAGAGTATGTAGAGACAGACTGTGGACAGCGATACAGGAACTTGGCTTTCCGAAAAAACTTATCCGGTTGATACGGATGTGTATGGAACGGTTACGATGTAAGGTGAGAGTTGGACAACAATACTCGGAGACATTTGAAATAAACAATGGACTAAAACAGGGAGATGCACTTTCACCACAACTCTTCAACTTAGCTCTGGAGCACATAATCAGAAGTGCAAGAATCGAAAAACCGAATACAGTATTTCATCGAGAAGGACCAAACTTACTACTGGCATTTGCAGACGATATAGATCTAATAGGAAACACGCGATTAAGGATGAAGGAGACTTTCGTAAGGTTTGAGAAGGAAACAGAGAAGATGGGCTCCAAGTCAACGAAAACAAGACGAAATATATGTATATGAGCCGCAATAACCAAAGCAGAGACAGAATCGGTCAGAACATTACCATCGATGACTTTAACTTTGAGCGCGTTAGAGAATTCAAGTATCTTGGAACAACAATAACTGAAGACAATAACGGATCACAAGAAATAAACAACAGGATTCAGGCCGACAACAGATGTATTTTTGCCCTCCAAAACCTTATAAAATCAAAACAACTAACACGACGTACGAAGATACAGGTCTATAAAACAATCATACGACCCGTTGTGATGTATGGAAGCGAAACGTGGACGATAACAAAGGCAAATGAAGAGAGACTACGTGTTTGGGAAAGAAAAATCCTAAGGAAGATCTTTGGTCCGGTGCTTGACGAAGCATCAGGACAATATAGGATAAGAACTAATAAAGAGCTTGAAGAACTTTACCCAGACGCCAACATCATAAAAGAAATAAAGTCCAGAAGACTCCAATGGGCAGGATACCTCAGAAGACATTCTGACGAACGAACAGTAAGACTGGTGTGGGAGGAAGTCCCAACTGGAAGGACACCACGCGGACGCCCTCGTCTCCGATGGCGAGATAATATAGCAGGAGACCTAAGCACTATGGGCGTGGAGAATTGGATGGAGGTTGCTCAAGACAGAAAACAGTGGAGGCATGTTGTCCAGTCGGCTAAAACCCACGAAGGGTTGTAAAGCCACGGAGTAAGTAAGTTCTGAAGTGATGCCCATAAAAACATTTCCGCGATTCATTTTTATCTTATAGATTACATAATAACATAACAATTGTTTTTCCATTAAATATGCAAGAATTATATGCACTTTTTTATCATTGCTCCATTTTTGAAATAAATTGTAGACCAATTCATACCTCCCTCCTGATTTTAGCGGCAATAATTTGTAAGTAGCCATTTTAGCAGCTTCACTAGTCTCATATGGAATCAATTTGGCGTCACTTTCACTACTGATTTCCACTTTTTTGAAATGGAGAAGCGAAAACACTTCTTTCAATCGAATCTTATATGATAAGTGCTGTAATAATAAAAATATGAGTTGGTATTATTGTTAAGGCCATCTACGTAGATACTGAAAATCGTTCCAAAAGTAAAAAAATCATTCCAAAATTGAAAAATTTTTTCTCGAAAATGATTGCTTTTGATACTTTTTGTGTAAAGTGGCACTTTCGATTTAATAAATCATACAGAAAGTTTAGTTTTCGGGACGGCTGCAGAAAAAAATATTTTTCTTGGTTTTTAATAACTACATACTACCATTACACATTTATTATAACTAGCAAATTACAATAAAATATATAAAAATTATATTTTTATTAATGCTTATACATATTCAATAAAAAGAAGGAAAATTAAATATAGACCAGGGGAGACGTTTACGTGAGGGAAATCCTTTTTTTATTTTCATTTGATTTGCATATACATGATATTGTTTCACCACATGTGGTTTCTTTAGCTACAACGGTAGCTGTACCTTAACATCTGAATAAGCCATAGTGTCGTGAAATATGTCATGTAAAAATAAATACAGCGGAAATATTTATAAAAATATACAGTGTGTCCAAAAGAGAACTTTTTTATTTTTATTTTTATTTTTGTTCTAAGTTTATCAAATCCTGCTTTATTGTAAAGTAATCCTATGTATTTTGCTATCATGTTGGAAAATGTAATAATAATAATCTAGTGAGTGACGTTAACGTCAATAATCTAGTGGGTGATGTTTACGTCATTACCTGAGCAATAATATAAAATGATCATAAAACAGTAAATTGTAATGACAATCAATAATAAAAATAATAATACACAGTAATGTAGAAAAACTAAAAGTAAATATAATATTAAGTAACTATTCGACTTAACCTCCACCAACTTCACAACTTATCTCCAATCTATTTCTAAATTCTTTATAAGCGTTTCTTAGCATGTTTAGCTCTTGCCGGCAGATCCAATAGTTATTGTCCTCTCCCATATTCCAGGCAAACTTGCTATTCTCACATGCTTATTCGATTTGTACACTATCCATTCATATACTTCGTCAGAGATACACAATACATTCCATTTTTTACACAGATCGGCTATATGAGTCAACTCTTCTTCAGTGAAGACTTTGCCTAGGGGATTGTTCGGTGTGTTGATTATAATAATTTTGGTTTTTTCATTAATTAAGCCCTCCAAAAAACTGAAATAGAAATAAGCTGGACACAATGAACGTCTCCAAGACGGACGATGGAACAATGCCATCGGAAAGTGGCGTCCATACAATGCAAAGAGATCAAGACACAGACCACAGATGAGGTGGAAAGATGACATCAGGAAACAAGGAGGTCCCACATGGCAGAGAAGAGCTCAAGATAGGGAAAGATGGAGAAAACTGGGGGAGACCTATATCCAACAATGGAAGGATAGAGAATAGATTAAAAAAAAAGCCCTCCAATTCCTTTTTATCTAGGGTAAAATCCGCTAAAGTATGTAATCTGCCATCAGCGGGTTGTTTCAATCTTAACGGAATATATCTAGCGATCCCACCAGCATACTTAGCCATAGGTTCATAACAATCATAAAAAGGTTCTATGATAATTACTTCGTCACCAACATCAGTATGACCCATAATGGCAGCATGTAGTTCTTCATATGCTCCTATAGTAGTAATAACTTCATTTTTTTCATCAATGACGCTACATATTAATTTAGAATAGAACTTTGCTAGAGCCTTCACTAATCGAGGGTGACCGAATATTCTGGTGTACTGGTGCAACATATAATCTGATTTATTTTAAACTTGTGTTTAAGCATCCATTATGTACTGTGGGGCAGGAAAATCTGGAAACCCTTGTCGCAGGTTGAGAGGTTTAAAATCAATTGCCATTTGTATATATTCGGTCCGTTAACAGATTAAGTTTCGAAGTTGTTCATTACAATAACTGCATTTCAGGCATGAATTATTGCTTGTTTCAGATCTTCAATAGTATGGTTTAAACTTGTTTCGTAAACTTTTTGTTTTAGGTAGTCCCATAAAAACGTCCACAATTCCTAAATCCGGTAATCAGGAAGAAAAAAAAAATCATTCCATATCGTTCTATTCATCGTTTAGGAAAATATTCATCCAGCTCTACCCTGATAAGTAAAGTCGAATGTAATGAGCAGTTATTATGGTAAAAGTATAATTGACGGCTTTTTAAAAAGGAAAGGCCATATCAGACCGGCAGTCTAAATCAGTCAATTCGACAGTTCTGGGATGAAAATGTTCCATTTGTCATGAACGTTGTTTCATCAGCGTTGTTTAATAAAATATTGTAGTAAACGAGAATATAAATTCAAACGATGATACCAAGCAATATGACATATCACACGAACTAAAATCAGGGCATCATAAAAAATTTATAAGTAATCTAACCATTCAGATTCTTTTGAACATAATAAACGCCTGCAGAAAAAATATTTTACGTCACGTGATCCAAGAGCGATTTTACGAGATTAGCAAGATTCCGTCCATTCCATGGAAACTTACTACTCATCCCGCAAAATATCACGTTCAGAACTTGTTACCTAAATTACTATTGTGTACCCACTACGCAAAAAACGCTTTTCTGCATAGTTTTATGTTAACAAGTTTAATGTTTTCTCACATCACAATAATTGAAATATGACGTTAGTGTGCCGGAAAGTGAGAATTCTATATTAGAAAGTTTTTCCTGTACAGTTTCATATAACATTCAAAAACAAATCATTTTTGTCTCACACTAACTTCACGTTGCTAGGCAACCAATCAAAGTTGTTTATTTAGCCTGAATACTAAGTTTGTTCACAACATTCAAATACAAAACATTATTTTCTATTTAAAATATTTATTTTTTAAGTTTTTTAAATAAGTTTGAACTAAAATTGTAACGATTTAATTTGCCTACCACATAATTTTATTTATTTATAATTTTTTATTTTGACATGAAGGCAAATTTTTTATTATTTAAAAACTGTTTATTTTTACTTTAAATAATTTTAATAAAAAGTACCTGGCTGGTGTATTTCCTTTAAGAAAGGTTTTGGGATTACAATTGAATCAAAAACACTGCAAACAACACACATCTGTGTGCCACACAAACTGGAATTAGTCTGGGTGTGTCACAAACTGGGTGACCATGGAACACAAAATGGACAATATATTCCGAATATTCCAAATATCCCGGATGACAACAAATTGCAACCTTCAAAACTCAGCCACTCATTTCCTTTTTAAAACCATGTGGACCTCTCAAATGGTTGGAAACGCCGTCTTAAAAATCCCTCAGATAGGGCACAGCATAAACAATTGGTGATTATCTCAACAAAAACTGCCAAATAGCGTCTTGAGCTAAATTCACCTCTTAACTTAAAAAAAATTGCCGGCTTTTTGAAGACTACATTCCGAAAGCTATCTCTTCCAAATCCAGATCTCCTGTTTCACTGTTTTTCTTCACTGCTACTATCACTTTACACTATATTTCCATGACAAAAACGAATAACGAATAACAACAAAACAATGATGAATTTGAAGAAAAATCCGGACTCAAACAATAGCTGACTGCTTCTGCGATCCATCGTCGAGTGATGTTTTGTCCATCATTTGTCCAACCCAGGATAACTAAAGCATAAACAGAAATATTCCTGTTTATTCGATGCGCCAATCTCCAGGTGGCATCAAGATCAAACGCGAAATACCAATATGTGCTTTACAAGCAAATAAAAAATGTTTATATTATCAATCTCAGCGACGCATAAAGATTAAGAATATTTTTCGGTGCTTTTAACATTTACGAGGAGAAATCGAAACGGTACAAAATGGATATCGATAGTTTTGAAATTGAAAATAATCAAACAGAACTGAAGGAATAATCGTTATCATTAATCTTATTCATAATTCTTATCATAATTCTCATTCGTAATCATTAATTATTATTTTTAACTTCAAGAGAAAATAATAAACTAGGAAGATTTTTATTTTTAGCAAAAAGTGTGGTTGTACAGAAAGTATAGAGTGTAACTCGTGCAGAAAGGTAATTTCCCACTAGTTTGAATTGCGAACTCGCAAACTCATAAGAAAATTAGTACTTGTTACACAATATACTATTAAAAAACTTGTGAATTATCTGGACACTAAAAATACATTGGATGGCATAAGAAGAAACAAATAACATTGTATATAAGGCACGAATGGAAGATGATAATCACAGTTTTCGAACGAAAACGTATTAAAAACGAGGGCCTAAAAGTAACTGGTACCGACACCGAGAAGAAACATTTGAAAAACATTCATAATTTATACATCTTGCAATCTTCCATATTCACTCGCCCATGGGGCGGGCAAGTCGAGTACTTAAAAGATACATAAGACACCTGGTACAGTTCATTAAATCTGACAATTACTACCATATGGTCGCAGTTTGTACCGCAAAAGGCAATCACGACTTCCCATCTTATCTCGCAAGGTAGGGCACGTTCGTCTCATCATTGGTCACAGTTCACGTACACATGTGACAAATATACAGGGTGTGTCAAAAATATGCAGGATAAAATAATAATATATGCTATAATATTTTATGGAAATATATCACAATTTAGGTATATTTAAAAAAAAACTTTATTGTATTGATTTCCACCTGAAAATCGTTCTCAAGGTTATTTAAATTAACTTTTTCTTTTAGTGGCGTATGCTTCATTGGTTTGCGATCATCAACTGTCACTACCATAGCAAATATGCCTCTATCATTTTCAACTCGACAGAGTTCAATTGATTCTCTATTTCCTAATGTTTGGAAAAGAGGCATTTTGAATCCACTGAGTCCTTTCTTTTCATTACTTAATTTCCCCAAGTGTTTTATTTATTCCTGAAATAAAGAATAATAATAACTCTGCCTCCGGTAAGTGCTGGGTGGATTGAGTAGCTCAGCAAATGCCGGTGCCGGTTCCAAGTCCGGATAAAGGAGGAGGGTTGAGGTGATGGGCTAGTAACTCATCCCTTGTCAAAAGGAATAAATGCTAAAAATTTCGACCAAAAACCTCGAAATACAAAGGATGAATTAGAACAAAGACGACTAATGCAACGGAAAAGGAAAATGATATTGACTTCATGGAATGTACAAGGACTTAGAACCAAACGAACAGAAATATTAGCGGAAAGAAAAGTAGATATATGTATTCTAACCGAGACCAAGAAAAAGGGAAAAGAAAATGAAGAGATAGGAGAATATATACATATCTACAGTGGAGTCAGTAAAGATAACAGAGCTATGAGAGAAGTCTCTATTACCATTCGAAAAAATCTTAAAAACAATATTAAATTGTGGACTGAAGTAAATGAACAAGTGGTAATACTGAAAATGAAAAGAATGGGCACAACATCGTAATTGTCGGAGTTTAAGCCCCTAATGAAGATGCTGATCCAGAAAATAAAGACGATTTCTACAACAAGATGAATGAAATACTCTCTGAAGTTAAAGAAAACTGTGAAATCTTTATATTAGGAGATTTAAATGACAGAGTATGGAGAGAAGAAAATAACAGAGTCGTAGGAAGATATGGGGAACAAATAACCAAAGACAACGGATAATATGCATGTGTTAGTAAACAAGAAGAGATGCTTATCAGAAATGGACGTCAACGAGAAAGGAGGAAGATTACAAGATATATAAAAAATTTAATCGAGAAGTAATGAGAGAAGTAGTGAAAAGTAAAAATGAGATATGGGACCGAAGATATGCAGAAGTGGATAGGTATATGGATGGAACAAGAGTTGGGCAAGCGTGGAAGGTGATAAAGTCTCTCCGGAGCGAAGGAAAGAAAAAATCTAACTTACAGTTAATAGATCTGAAACAGTGGAAACACCATTATGAGGTCTTACTGACAGAAGATAGATGTAACTTTCAAGAGATCGAAATGGAAGAAATATCCAAACATACATAAATAATTGAGATAACAACCAGAGAGTTAAGCTATGCCTTTAAAAGATTGAAAAACTGTAAAGCAGTAGGACCTGGAGACATCCCAATTGAGTTGGGATGTCTCCAAAGTATGGACCAAAAATATTACATGTGATGTTGGTTCAACTATTTAGCAAATGCTTAAAAGGAAAAAATATCCCTGATGATTGGAATGTTAGACACATCAGCTAAATATTCAAGAAAGGGGATAAACGCAAATGCTCTCAAAAAATTTTAAGAGTGTGGCTCATTAGGCTAATTAATCGATATTCTGAGCATTTTCTCGCATTGTGTTTTTAGGTATTGCGACAAAGATGGATTTGTCACTCAAGTTAGTTAGACATAGATATTTGTTGTATGATATTAAATGTCACTTAATTATGCATTTCCCTTAAAATCTTCACATACTTACTAGCAACTTCTTTCTTATTATTTATTTATTTATTTATCGTATGGCAATTACAACACATTTAGAACAAAATTACAAACACTAGTAATATAGGTATATGACAAACTTTACATAATTACAAACAAACATCAAGTGTATTAATATAATCAATTGACTCTGAAGTTGCAAACAGGAAGTCTTCAGGGCTACCGTTATAGGATCTTGAGGGACACTGTTCAATAATGTGGTCGATCGTTTGGTTCTCATTGAGGGAGTCACATTGAGGAGACGGATTCTTTCCCCATTTATGTAGCATGTATGCACATCTGCCATGTCTGGTTCGGATCTTGTTTAGAGTGGACCATGTTTTACGTGGAAGATCAAAACCTGGTGGCTTGTGGGTAATACAGGGCATGT